CAGCCACTACACTCCAGTCTGGGTGATAGAGTGAGACTCCAACTCAAATAAATAAATAAATAAATAAATAAATAAATAAATAAATAAATAAAGAGTTAAGATGTGATGCGATGGGTTCATTTGGTTCAGCCAGCATCAGAATGAAGTGTGTATATGTTTGGACAAACGGGAAGACACATTTCCAGTAAAGGTAATACCACGTGCAAATGCCTGAAAGAACTGATGAACTTCTCAGGAAACCGGAGGCAAGTTCACTGAAGCACAAAGTTAGGGGAAGAGAAGAAAAGATTAGACTGGAGAAATCACAAGAAATAATGTACTTAAAAGTCTTCTGGTTGGTGTTGGGATTTTTAATCTATACTGCATGCAATGGGAATCTTTTGAAGAGTTTTAAGGAAGTTAAAACCCTGATGCCAATATAGATTCACAAACCACTTTTAACATTTTTAAATCCAGAAAGTTCAGAGATTCTCTTTTTTCATTCTTTTCTTTCTTTTTTTTTTTAAGCTAGGCAAATGTGACTTGGTAAGGTAAAGATTCTAAAGTGTCTCGGAGCTCCTATTTTCAAAACGGTTCCTGTAGTTTCAATATATATAAACATAAATATATGTATACATGCGTACATATACATATATCACATAATGTATATATGTGTATGTATATATGATATGCAAAAGTCAAAAAGAGTTAAAGGGTCAGGGCAGTATCTGAGATTCATTAATAAGTGGGTGTAATGCCTAGGACATGTGGTTAACCTGGTAGATAATCCATGTGGTTTTAACCCTGTGGTTAAAAGTAGGAAGAATACATAGAAGCATCTTACACTATCAGTAGTACAGAATATAGAATTACTGCAGAAATCTGAGGCATTTTATTAAAAATGTGGTAGTCACCACTATGATTTATAGTGACAGGTTGTTGAAAGTTAGTAGAGATAATGATGACCAATAACTCATGAAAATTTAGAAAAATACTACATAAGGAAAAAAATTAAAATGAAAATTTGTACTTGAATTGATTGAGTGAATTCAACAAGAAAGTGGTGAATTTATACAAAACCCATGTCTTTTTTTCTTTCTTTCTTCTCTTTTTTTTTTTTTTTTTTGCAATGGGATCAGCAAAAATAAACCATGAATTACTGAATTCAGAAGCATGTATGAAAAGTGTGAGTCTAGAATTTTTACAAGCAGCAATACTATCATCCTCAGAAATATTGACATTTTGAAACAGATATTTCTCTGTTGGGGAGGTGTTGGTTGCTACCAGTGTCCTTGTAAGCCTTAGTTCTCAGAAGAAAACCCTGGTGTGATAACCAAAAATGACTTCAAACATTGCCAAATGTTCCTCAGGGGGTGATGGGAGAGAAGAGAGTGAGGATGTGATGGGAAATTATCCCTAGGTGAGAACCACTGGTGTGTAAATCATCTGAAGAATCTGTGGTGAAAAAGCTACTAGTAATTATGGAGCAGCTGAGAATTACATGTATAAATTTGACTATATTATATCTCTTGAAAATCATGACCTTACATATACCTTATGTTTTTTCAGGAATCTGGTCTAATTTATTTTTACAGCAAATAAATTTGCTCAGAACCAAGACTTACTGATTTCTTTACATTGCCAATCAATCACTACAGCATATAATTTATCTTTCACATCATATTCCTTCATAATTTATCTGCCATTGGTCCAATATTTTCTATAGGAGTAAACTACAGTCAAGGGCATTTTATTCCTGCCAAGTCACTAACTAATTCATTTTCTTTTTTTTCCTATGTTGGGTGCATATATGTTTAGGATGAATATTTCTTGTTGATGGATTGAACCTTTTACCAATTCATTTTCTAACTTTTACTCTCCCACTCACAACAGTACAAGTAGGCATCAAATTACCAGGGAGAACTCTCATTTCTGTAGTCAAGTTCTTAGGAGAGGAGAAACTAAGATGACATTTCATATAGACAGTTTACAAAAAATAACCAGGTCCTCAGACTTTGAGCAGAGACCATCACAGAGTTCCTGTTTCCCTTTAGAAATGATATCAGAGAGGAGAGCACTCTGGATCAGACAAAGTCTATCTTATTGCTCACAAATTCCCTAGCTACCAATTTCACAGATAAGAAAGTTAAAAACTAAAAAGGTGTGAAGTCACTATATTTGTAACTTGCATGCTTCACTCCATAGTTCATTCTCATGTGCCGAACTTAGGGTTGCCAGGCTTAGTGAATAAAAATACCAGTAAAATTTGGATTTCAAACAAATTATTGTTTACCTGAAAATTCAGATTTAGCTGGACATCCTTATTTTACTGGCAACCTTAGCACAATTTCTAATAAATCTCAAAAAGAAGAGAGGATTTAATTCTTCTTTGAGTTCTTCAACACATGCCGGGGCTAGCCAGCACATATCAAACTTTTCAAGAAACAAGTACAAAGCGAATTAAATTTTCTTCAATATATTGGAACTAGTAGCTCTGGCATTCCTTGCTCGCCCCAAGACACACTCTGGTACACATGAACATCAGAAATTCTATTAATAATTTAAACTCAATATATCACTATTCACTAATAATGTTTCAAATCTCAGGCTCTAGAATAAGAAAATCTTATTAAAACATGACCTCTCCTACCTGGATCAATTTGTAACAACAATGAGCCTTTTTTATTTACCAAAATGGGGTAATAATAGTTTATTCCTCACAAGATTATTGTTTAGTGTAAAATTAAGTACTAACTCTTCTTAGTGCAGATCACATAATAAACACTAAAATATATTACCATTTTAATTTTCATAATCCCTGTAAATTCGAACTCACATTAACTTTCTGTTCTTTAACTCCTAAAGCAAACAATATTTTCATCATCATTTGGTGATTGTGTTCCATTAACTGGATCACTAATTATCTTTTTGAACACATTAGGACAGAATCATTGGTTTAAGTGTAATAATGCAACATACCTAAATCTCACTGAAATGGGATATGCTGACATAGAAAAGAAAGGCTTTCTATATACTCAGATTTAAACTGCAATCGAATTTCTGGAACTAACTTTGTGACACAGGGTAAGTTATTTACACCTTCTGAATTTTAAATTCCTTGAATGTGTATGATTTTAAATACCACAGATAAAATAGGATAGTTATTGAAATTACATTCTGATATGTATAGGCATGGTACATAATAGTCAAAGCAAAATGTTACAATGCTCCACGCTGACAGACGCCAAATGTGTTTTGTTTATTGCTCCATTTTCATCACTTTGGCTAATAACTAGTGTATTCTAAGTCAATAATAAATATTGTCTGTGTGAATTAATGACCTGTTTACATAACCGTCACAACTGTGTACAAAGGCCCTCTAAGGCTTTCTTGTTAATGATTGATCATCTCTCTCTCTGATTCACAGGTCCTCCTGCTTCTTTTAAGCCTCTTTATTATTTTCTCTTAAATTCAGCTGGCTCCCTGATCCCAGAACACAGGCCTTCCCTGAAGTCTCCTACTCAAAAGACTCAACCGTAATTCTGGCTTCTTCTTCTCACTCTTCAAATGGTCCAATTCGGTTTCCATCCTGGATATTCCACTAACTGGAAATGTCAAGTCCATCAAAGCCAGTGATAACTTCTCTGTCACATTCTCACTTCACCCACCTCTTAGTGGTGCTCCCATGACTGACCACTTCCCAGCCTTGAAAAAAATCTGTTTTCCTACTTTCTACACATTATTTTCTCTTGATTTTTCTCCAACATCAATGGACTCCTTCTCAGTCCCCTTTGCTGTCCCTTGTCCATCTTCCTTTTTTCCAAGTGTAATCTATCTCCTATATAACTTTTTCCACTTAACTGGAATTTATCACTGTTCATGTGTCAATTATACCAACATTAATAACTCTAGCCCTGCCCTCACACTGAACTCCAGTCTCTCCATGGAGATGTCAAAAACAAACAAAACCTTAGACAAAACCTTTATTTTACCCACCCATTTCTTATAATTTTCTCTCACAGTCTATCCTGTTTCAATAAACTGACACCACCACCCACCTATTTCTAAATACAATATCCACAAGAATAAACTTGGATTTCTACCCTGCATATTTTTAATTCATTAACTTGTTATTCAAAAGAATATTTCAAATATGTTGACTCATCTTTATCACTGTCTTTATCACTACTGCACTGAATGAAGCCATGAGCCTGTCTGTCCTGGAGATTTTTGCTGTGCTCCTAAGTGGTCTCCCTGCCACCACTTGTGAACTCCAACAACCCAATCTCCAAATAGCAACTAGAATTACTTTTTAAAATGGAAGATAAATGGACTCTCCTTGCAACCTTCCAGTAGATTCCCACAGCTGTTTAAGTCAAATTCAAATGTCTTACAATGGTCATCAGGGCCTAATATGAGGAGGCTCCTAATTCCTCTCCATCCTACATTATCTGATGCCACTTCATTCCTTGCTCACTGCCCTTCAGCCCTTCTAGCCTTCTTTCTGTCCCTTCAAAACAGAACACATTTCCCCACACCATGGACTTTCCCTTGTTCTATCTCTCATCTCTCTTGCACACCTGTTCCTTAGACCACATGGCTGTCTTCTTATTTTTGTCTCAACTTAATGTCATATTCTCAAGAAGTCCTCCCTAACCACTTGAACTGAAGTTGGGAGAATCCAGCTATCTCTATCCTATCACCTTGATGTCTTTTTCAGGGTAATGATTGCTCTATAAAATTTCCTTTTTGTCAAAAGTCTATTGGGTTATTAATAAACATTCTCCACTATTAATTTAAGTAAGAGTAGGAACTTTTTCTATCTTATTCAAATAGAATTTTCTGATCCTTGAACAAAGTCCAATACACAATAGTTGCTCAGAAAAATATTTAGGGTCTAAATGAAGAAGCAAGGGTTCTGGTAACTGATCACTCTGGGGTTCCTGGAGTTCAAAAAAGGGCTCAAGCTCTTTTATTATGATGACACACTCTATCCATTCCACTCCTTGTGAGAGATATAGGAAACTTTGTCTTTCACTTCCTTCCAGTGAGAAGAAAGATTCACTGGTAAGGAAATGGTGATTTTAAGAAAGGGGAAATTTTTTTATTAAGATTTTTTTTATTTTGATGGCTGTCATAGCACTGATGGTTTGTGCAAGCTTCAGAAATTTTCAGACATTCTGACAAAATAGCTGGGGAAAAAATAAAGAGAAACTGGAGAGAGAGGTAAGCAGACATAGCTTATTAAGGAAAACAGAGGTGATTATGAGTTAACCTATCAAATTTGGGACATGACCACAATTCCCTTGAGTCACTTTTTGACTTTCAGCCCTACGGATGTAAACGACATTTACTAGTCTTGTAACCTCATTCGGGGTATATAGTTTGAGTCATAAGATTGCTGATATTTCACTACTTTTGACTAATAAAAATAGAATTTCATCTAATTTATCCTACAATAGTTGAATCCCTTCTTGTGGGCTCTAGCCAGGGAATGTAGAATGTATGGAGAAACCAGTAGACAAAGGTTCAAAATAAATTCATAATGAACATGAACCTGTGTCAAGTTTTCAGAGGATGGCTTAAGATCTTTTAGGCACCAAAGAACACCCCATAAATGCTTATTACTTACAGGGTCATTCTAAGTACTAAAGATACCTGCTTCCGCTTCAGAATGCTTTTCCTGGGGAAAAGAGTGAACAATGACACAAACTCGGTCGGAGAATCTCTAGTACAGGGATGCAGGCTTCATAAACATTGGATTCCAGAGAGAAAAGAAAGAAGATAATGTGGGAAACCACTTGGCACGTCTTCATATTCTAGGGAGAAGCACCCAAATGACAGATGCTATTGAAGACATAGCACAGGATATTCCAGGAGAGACTCTTCGAATGTCTTTTGACTCCCCACTAAATTTCAGAGAAACCTTCTTTTCTATGGCATAAATCAACATAATAAAAGACAATGTTGTTTGGGGAAGTAGCTTAACATTCATATTTCTTTTCTTTCTTTTTTTTTTTTGAGTTGGAGTCTCACTCTGTCGCCCAGACTGGAGTCCAGTGGCACGCTCCCGGCCACCTCAGCCTCGACCTGCTGGGCTCCTGCGATCCTTCTGTCTCAGTCTTCCAAGTAGCCAGAACTACAGGTGCGCACTACCATGCCCATCTAATTTTTTATTTATTGTAAAGACAAGGTCTCGACAAGTTGCCCAGGCAGGTCTTGAACCCGTGGGCTCAGGGAATCCACTCACCTCAGCCTCCCAAAGCGCGGGATTATAGGCTGAGTCACATTCATATTTCTAAATGTGAAATGTGATACAAAACTGCAGAGGTTTTACTGAAAAAAATTTGAGAAGAAATGATTTATATGGAGGCCATTTATGCAGGTCTCTTGTATCAGCTCCTTTTGTGGTGGAAATAATATGGGATTCATATAATAAAGATGAGTGTTCCCTGAATAAACTGTCACAATTTCTTAAGGGACATAGCCAGTACACTGTGACAAAGAATTAATTTCCTTTTTTCCCCTATCCTATCATAGGTAAGTACCCACTGTGTAAACTTACAGCGGGTGTCCCTAGCCATAGCCAGAGGAAGGCTCAGCACCATTAGTATCACTGTCAGAGCTGCCATGCAAGTGCCTCAGGGAACCACAGGCACACCAATTGGAGAACAGGAGAGGACCAAGTGTTAAAGGAGCAGACAAGTCTCACACAGAATTAAGAACCTCCTCCACCCACCCCCCAAATCATAGGAACCAATTACTCGTTTCTTTATTCGAGTATTGGGTAATCCCATGTTAGAGAATAATCATCATCAGAGCTGAATAGCATCATCAGTTGCTGGTCAGAAATTCATTATTAAGGTCCTCTTCTGAAACAGAACTTCCTTCATTAAACAATTGTTTTAATTAAGTTATTTAAAGGTTTGATCCAGTTGCATATGAGACACTTTAATTGGGCTCCAATTATAAACCAGCTCCGTTTGTGCATTCTGTAGGAGCATCCAGTTTTCACTTGAAGACAGAACTGTTTGGACAAGTGTGTATGTGAAAGTGTGTGAGAGTAAAAAAGGATGAAGGGAACATTATTGCAAACAGGAGACCTTTAATCTGGCCCCTAATTAAATATAATTTAGTGTTGTAGATTTGAGGAAACTACTTAACCTTTCACAGTTGAAATATAAGCACTGTGATCTTTCAGGTCTTTCAGCACTGGAAAATGCTGTGACTTTATGGACACCTCAGGTAGCAGCATCCCCTGGTAACAGATGATAGAATTACAGTTGTTGATTGGAGGGCATAATCTGTACCTCTTTACAGGTAGGGATCCCTGATAAGCTAAATAAACTTGAAAATATGCAATAATTTAATCTGAGTAAAAAAGGTTTTTCACTTTTGTGTCCTGATGCTGTCAGGGAGTTTGTGGCACTTCCAGAAAACACATAGTCAAGAAGCATGGAGGAGTCATCCATGTGACTGTAGCTTGTATAGCACTTAATCCAACAATGTGATTGTGTCAACTGCACAAATCAAAGTATATAGGGGGCTGAGAAATCAACCGAGCACTCACAGTCAGCTGTTGACACAACTATGCTTTAAAATAATTAATATTTTACCTGAATAAGTGTTCAATCCCTGGTTCCCATCATTACTTTCTTATTTTATTAAGGCTATCTCCCTTTACTATTCCCTTTCGGTTTCTTTACACAAGGAATGATATAAGAAAAATGTGCTCATAAATTCATTATAGAATGTTCAGGAAAAAGACATTATGGAAAAACTATTAATTATATCATTTGATGTGATATCTAATTTTAAACATATAATTCTGCTTTTAGATCATTAGTATGCATTACATTAGTGTAAATGTAACATCTTATATTAAAAATTTGACTTTAAAGTTGTGTCAGCGTCTGCATTACTTCACACTCTACCACAGTTGTGATAAGAGGTCATTCTTCATGTGCCTTAGTGTTTCTAGTGACTAGATAGTCACCATGCCACAATAAAAATGACTACAGTTTATTGAACGATTTTTGAGCATTTTACTTTGTACCATATATCATGTTTTTATCTAACTCTTACATCAGTTCATTCCTAGAGATCAGAAAATAAAATTGTGGAGATTAAACAATGTTTGAAAGGAGTCAAGGCTATTAAATAATGCATTCCAGAATGAACTAAGTTTTATGTGATTCCAAATTTCTTGAGCTCGGCCATTAGATTAATTAATTACCTCACATTCAACTTCTAAAGATAATAATATACCCTTACAATTAAATTATTTTTATCACTTTAACTTATTGCTATCATCTTTATTAATTTATATCTAATATCTTTATTAATCAAAGAAGAAACCATTGCAATCACCACATTGTTGGCAAGGAAAAATACGTTTGTTTATTTCTGTAGCATAAAAATTCGTGCTTAAGGATTTGATGAACTCTTGGAAAGCATTTTCTGCATCCTGCTGGTTGTGGAAGTGTTTTCCCTATAAAAAGTTTTAGACATGTTTGAAGAAGTGGTAGTTGGTTGGGAAGAGGTCAGGAAAATATGGCAGGTGAGGCAAAATGTCCTAGCCAAATTCATTTAACTTTTGAAACATTGGTTAAGTGATCTAGAGTTGGGCCCTTTCTGTTGACCAATGCCGGCTGCAGGCATTGCAGTTTTTGGTACATCTCATCAATTTGCTGAGCATACTTTTAAGATGTAATGGTTTTGCCAGGATTCAGAAAGCTGTGGTGGATCAGACTGGCAGCAGATCTCCAAACAGTGTCCAGACCTTTTTTCTCTGCAAGTTTGGCTTTAGGAAGTCCTTTGACGCTTCTCTTCAGTCCAACCACTGAGCTGGTCATAACCAGTTGTCATATAAAATTCACTTTCTACCTTGCCTCATGACTCAGCCTGCAATCCCTGCACTATGGGAGGCCAAGGCGAGTGGATTGCCTGAGCCTGTGGTTTTGAGGTCAGTCTGGGCAATTTGGTGAGACTTCATCTCTACAATAAGTCCAAAATTAGCTGGTCATCCTAATGCGTACCTCTAGTCCCAGTTACTTGGAAGGCTGAGATGGAAGGATTACTAGAGCCCAGCAGGTCGACACTGGGGTGGCGTGAATGTCTCATCTCCAGTCTAGGCGACAGAGTGAGACTCCAACTAAAAAAAAAATGTATTTTCATCACACATCATAATCTGAGAAATGGTTCGTTGCTTCATAGAAAAAGAGATAACGACACTTCAATGCCATGATATTTTTTATTTTTGGTCAGTTCATGAGGCACCCACTTATTGAGCTTTTTCACCTTTCTAATTTGCTTCAAATGCCAAACAACTATAAATGGTCAACATTGAGTTATTTGGGAACTACTTGAGTAGTTGTAAGAGAAACAGTATCAATGATTGCTCTCAATTAGTCATTGTCAACTTCTGATGGCAGGTCACTATGCTTCTCATCTTCAAGGCTCTCATCTCCTTTGCAAAACTTCTTGAATCATCAATGAGGGAAAATCTGAAATTAAATGTAAGAAAGAACAAAGTGGTAAATATGTAGGTCATTTTAAAGACTATCAATTTTAAAATAATATAAATGCTAGTCTGTGAAGTTTTAAAATAATATATAATTAGTAGAATAATATATTAACTGTCTTATTAAATTATATACTTAAATAATGTTAGTATATTATTAAGCAATAATATATAAATTGAGATATATAGCACTAAAACATTCTAAGATCCTTTTATATTATCCAAAAGTTGAGTAAAGCTATTGATTCAATTTAAACTTAAGTTTGTATGTTGTCATTTTTAGTGATCACAAAAAAATAGAAACAGCATAGAATTTCCAAACTTGCAAAAGAAAATAAAAAATTATAAATATTTATATCACTCACCTTTAGTATTCCTGTCTGCATTCTACACATCTGTAGATCACTCCCTAAGTGATAGACATTACCAGCAAAAATCAAATAACACTAGCCAATCTGAATATCAATTGTCAAGACAGAAGCTTGTCAACATGATATTTCTCTTAATGTCTTTTAAACCAAAAATGAAATCCCAAGCCCTCCAACCAACTGAAAGGATCCCCATGAACAAAAGGGACCCCAGAGAAACCTGAAAAATGTTCCTAGTCTTGACAAGAAAGGAGATCAGACAGGCATTATGATGTCCCCTTCCTTTTGGACTTTTGGCACAACTGACCAGCATGAACATTAAAACAGAGATCATAAAATTGACAAAACAGACTCTGTGGCAATAAGATACTAAATTCCAACCCAACTCTGGTATATCATCATATAAAAGATAGCAGACTCTGAAGGAATTCAAGATAGTCCATCCCAAGCTATATTTGACATATATTGAAATGGCTCTGCTAAGCTGTCTGGATGAGGCAAATTTGCATCTTTAGAGAATCTCTATTGATGCAGCCAGGGCTTCCCTTTCCAGGCCTTTCCTGAATCTAAGAGAGATTAACTGAAAATTTTACCTCTTTGTAGATTCAAAAGGAGACATTTACCATCCATTTTCTCTAAGGCTGCTATTTATAAGGCTTTATCAACTTAACAAGAACCTGGGTTACAACCTCTATTAGCTTAACTCAAGCTTTTTTTTTTTTTTACTACTGACTTCAAATCTCTAGACAAAGCTCTCAACCAATTGCCAATCAGAAAATGTTTGAATCCATCTATGGCCTATTACACCCACTCTCACTCCCAAAACCCACCTTCACTTCTAGACATCCTACCTTTTCTGACTGAACGAACCTATACCTTCTCTGTAATGAGTGGTGTCTTTGCTCCTGTTTTCCTAAAATGGATAAATCCAAACTGAAAAGCAACATGTATTAATTCTATTTTATTTTAGGACCTCATGAGATAGTGCTCCCTGCCGTGATCACCCATATTGGCTCAAAATAAACCTCTAAATATTTTACAGAGTTTGGTTTTTCTAGTAATAGTCTCATTCTTTTACTTTTGCCCAAGGATCTCTAACCTCAAAAAAGTAATGAATAAATAGGGATTTTACAAGTTTAATACCCTATTATAACTCATAATTTGTCTTTGGAGAATAAAATAGTAGAATGTTAAGTTAGAAAAATATAAAAGATAACCAAAATATTTACAATTACATATACACATATATAACTTACAATTGTCACTGACCAGCTCAATACAAAGAAAAAAATAAAGCTAACAATTCACTACTTTTTTAAAACTCTTTGTGGAGAAATAAAGTAACATTTCTTGCATGGTCTATCTACTTCCTCAAATAATTTGATTTGCCCAACTATTTAGAAGTCAGTTCACAAATAGAGTTTTTTCTTTTTGTTTGTAAATGATACTTTAAGAATTTCAGCTGACAAATGACAGTCAAATTAATGTTATTTTTATATAAATAATAAAATAGATTTGTATTTCTTGTAATACTGCTTAATGTGACTTACAGCGCTGTAGAAAACTAAAGTTACTTGTCTAATTTATGGATCTATGAATTTCAAGATCAAAGGCAGAGTCCTTGATCCCAGTAACTGACTTTTCTTGTGCCAGTAATAAAGGCTTTAGTTACTGAGGAGAACCAAGGGAGCCTGGAAATTTGATGGTTTTTGAAAGAGACTCTTGTTTTGTTTCTCCTTCCATATGCCCTTTTATTTTCCCCTGGGTTCTTAGGAGTATTTGCATATCAGTTCTCTAGATTTGGCAATAGAAAATAACT